CTCTCTCTCTCTCTCTCTCTCTCTCTCTCTCTCTCTCTCTCTCTCTCCATATGTGTAAGTGGGTGTGTTTTCAGGGAGACAAGTACAAATATAATTATATAAAACACTAGTATAAAGCTTACAAAAGTATACAAAGTTTTTCTATATAATACAGTATGAGAGGAAGGACATTAATAGTTGGGAATGAGGAGAGTCAAGCAGGGATCAGGAAAGGCTTCATGCAGAAAATTGTTCTTGAGCTCTCTCTTAAAAGAAAAGTCTAAGGAAAGAAGAGAGTTCAATCCAACCACGGCCAGTACAAAACCACAGGAGATGGAATCTTGTCTATGGGAAAACATAACAGAGGGAAGCCCAGTTTGGCTAGAAGAAGAATGAGGGAAGGAAGAGTAATAATGTCCATTAAGGCTAGAAAGACAGGTTGGAGCCAGGTTGCATAGGGCTCTAAAAGCTAAACAGGAGGCAATAGGAAGCTGATGGAATTGGTTCACTATGTATGGGAGCAGGAAAGGCAACAGTGAGAAAATGAAGATTAGAGAGGGTTGAAAATGAAGGCAAACTACTGGAGATGTTGGAATCAAGAGTACAGTTAAATAGCCTTTGGCAAGAAAAGAACCATACCTTCATCTAAGATGGATGAAAGAGGAGATAGTGGGTTAAGATGTCTAAGTGATGTTGTAAGAGGAGAAGAAGAGGGGCTTCTTTTCAAATGGCCCCAGTTTTTCTGAGGAAATATAAATTGAAATCCTCAGCTGAGAGGAAGAGGAGTGACATGGGATGTTTGAGGAGGCATGAGAAGTTTTGGAATTGCTGCTGTGGTAAATAAATTGGAGGGAGGATCTAAAAGTATTGCGTTACAACGATGAGGGTCTAGTTGATGTTATGTATCATATGTTTGTGATAGACTCCGTCAGCATAGTTCAGCTTCATCAGCAGCACATGAATAGGAACAAAGGACATAGATTCTCAAAGTTCAGGTTTGGTAAAGGATAAATATGCATATAGAGGATAGAGGGAAGGTCCTAGAGTCAGGAAGACTTGAGTTAATAGCTATGTAAGTCACATGGCATCTGTTAAGAGAGATTCTATGAGGCAAAAGAGAGGAAAGAATGTATTCTAGCCATAGTAGACCACCAATATGTTTGACTGGATCTTACAGTGTGAGAAGGGGTGTAGTGTAGAATCAGTATGGAAAGATATGCTCCTATAGTTCCTAAAACAGTGTCTTGTGCACAGTTCCTCAAGAGAATTTAAAGATCATTGATTGATTTTAAAAAGCAGATGTTCATGGAGCCATAGAATACTGGACTTAGAATACCTGAGCTTGAATCCTGTGAGATGCTCATATGGAAAGCCAAATTATTTAACTTTCTTGAGTTTCAATTTTCTCAGTTTCAAAATTGGAATAATAATGAGCACTTACTTCAAAGGGTTATTTTGAAACCCCATGAGATAATGCTTGTAAAGTGTTTTGTAAACATCAAATGCTATATAATTGTCAGCTATTACTTTTCTAAATTTAGTTTTCCTTTACTTTTCTATATTAGTTATGATACAGAATTTGTTGGCCTTATTTTAAAGGCTGAAGAAGGCTCCTGTACTAAAACAGAGACAGCAGTGATATTTTTGTGCATGTGTGCTTGTTATATAGCAAACCAGGGCAGAGCACAGAGAGATAGAAACATCCAGCCCTCCAGTCTTCCTGGTTGACACTGTCTAATTGGAAAAACAAAACAAAGCAAAAGAAAAGCCACCCTCTCTCTTTCAGAAGAAAAACCTGAAAAGTAGCCTTGGTTGGGGTAGGAAGGGCTGCTAACTACATGTAATTAACATCCCTGTGCAATATTAGGGGGACCTGACTACCTCATTTTCTCATGAGCACACTCCAAATAGGGTCTCAGAGATAAAGGTAGGGGAAAGAAAGAAGCAGGAATGGCCTCCCCTATTCCCCAGCGACACCCCATCAACCAGAAGAAATAAAGTAGAGGGGAAACAAATCAGAAAGCATTCCAGAAAAGTTTCAGTTCTTTCTTTCCTTCAGAAATAATGGAATGGAATTAAACCTCTCCAGACACCCAGTGATATCTCCCATCCCCCGCTCCTCCCACTCCCTCCCTCACT